CGCTGTGCCTTTAAGTGCTAATTCAACAATTAAAACAATCTATAAACAAATATTGGTCAGACAATAGTGAATAAAGTGCAAATAAATTTATCCAATAATTTATACTCTGTGAATATGTGCTCTTTTGTGAATTACAAACAGAGAAACACTTACTCCTTAGAATATAGGAACAGCTGAAGATTGAAGGAGTATCTCTTTAAATCGCTTCCACATATAAATAGAAAAATATAGGAAAACAAAAGACACAATATAGTGTAAATCTGTATAATAAGTATAAACAAAAAATAATAATAGGAGAATACCACTCACAATGATAGAGCAGAATAAAGTCTGCTCCAACTATAAATGCTTTCAAATCCTCTCTGCAGGATTCTGTAGAACAGTTGAATGGTGTGCTTGAAACAGGCAGGACGGCACCGGAATAAAAATAAACCTTTTATTGGTACAGGATAAAACAAAAGATCATCACCCCTCTCCCTGGAAAGCCAAGATGGTTCAAACCCACTTTTGACTCGCGGCATGCACTTGCGGTCTTTCGGTGGTTAGATGTTTCCGGGAATAGGAGGTGCTAGTAACACGTACTGACGTCGTGTGTCCAAAAACGTGATGACGCGTTTCGCCTTGCCGGCTTCCTCAGATCAAGTTAGGGTGGTTGCCGTCTCTCAAAATATATACCCGTCTCTGTATTACTCCTACTGCTCTCTCGCACAGTAGACACTGTATGGGAATACTTCACCAAGCAGGCAAATCTTCTTCAATAACGGCAAAATGCCGCCTTCGTTGCCAGGGCATCAGCATCTGAACGGATTGACACCAGTCACCTTGCTCCGATATTACTCCAGCAAGTGCAAGACATGCTCACTAGAGGAATAATTGCTGCAACTATAGCACCTGTAGGAGGGTTCTCCTGCTCTTTCTGTCACTCATTTATTGGCATAGGTCTCTGTGCCATTAGCATTCTCTGTACATCGGAATAAAATCTTTGCTTGCCAGAATTTCAGCTAGCACAATGCATAGATACATTTTTATGTTTTGTAATTTAATGTGAAGATGTCTGTACAATGATATAAAGTAGAGTACTGGCAAGTGGGGAAGGGGGTAGGCAAATACCTCTAAGACCACTAGCAAAACTGCTATGTTTGCATCTGAAGGGTTAAAACCTGGGGTACCTGGCACCCAGACCACTTCATTGAGGTGAAGTGGTCTGGGTGACTATAGTGTCCCTTTTATGCTGCGCAAGTTGTACAGATGGAGCTTGATGGGATATATTACGTCATGGCTCCTGCAGCCTCCATCTGTGAAAACCCATGCATGTGTAGGACCACACACAAAGAGATTCCGGAGTTACTTTGTGTAAAAATGGCCATTTATTTCTACAACTGTCCCTTTGGCTTATCGAAGGTGCACTTTCAATTGTGAAATTGTCTAAAAAGTGCAGTTTCATTCAAAATCTAGTTCACTGCTCCAGCAAAGCCACCGTAATTTCACTCATTACAATAACACAGATGAATTATCTATAATCTTTTTTTTTTTTTTTTTTCATTTTAGGTTAGACCTTTTTTACATGTAGAAGGAACTGTAAAAACGTGTTAAGTATAGAGCAATGACATTGGAAGCTTTTATGTAGATCCATTCTACTTAATGCATTTCTTTCTTTCTTTATTTTTTGCCTAAGTAAGCACATGTAGGCTTTATAGTATGCTTATAGAAATGTGACGCAGTCGTACATAAAAATTGCCTGAAAATGTACGCTATTTTTTTTTTTTTTAGAAAAAGTTCTCACCATCAGTGCTGTAGTCATTAATCCTTTCATGGCTGGTGGTTTTCCGAGATTCTGTAAATTTGACATTGAGGTCCTGAAGTAGCTGTACTGGAAGCATTGCTGACTTGGATATTTTCTCCACCTCAGCTAATTTAGCCTAACATTTGAAATTCTCTTTGAATCAACTTTGAATTCAACTGTTCACTCCTTTCCTACACTCCCTAGCCAGCACTAGAAGCTCCGGTTAGGGAATTTCCATAGAAACCACAGCGCATGTGCGCTGGTTGCTATGGGTGGAGAGCAGAGGGACCTCCTATGCCTGTGCCAAGGCATTCACTGACAGCTGGGAGAAAAAAAGCTATTTTTAAATAGGTTTTTCTCCCAATCTATACATTTCCTACCAAACTTGCTACCACAATGTATAGATAAAATCTTATGCTCAATCTAATGAACATAAATAGTTTGGGGTATGACAGGTGCCTATCAAAGAGTGTATTGTAGTCATATGTACACCATGGTATGGTTTGCAGATAAATACTGAATTGTAAACCAAATGGCAATATTTACACAAAAAACAACTTATTTAAAAAGATTCCCCAAAAGCTATCGTCATTTTTTTCTCATTTACAATTTGTTGTTTGGTTGATAAACCCGAACGCAAAATACTCAAACGGAAGATTAAGCAGAATCTGAACACATTTTTCTGATTAGACATTGTGACCTACCGCAATTCAGCTGTCAGTTCAAAACATTCCTTTGTTTAGTGAATGAACTCAGAATAAAATATGAGCAGGGACAGAGTATTACTTCCTAGAATGGATTATTAGAGAGACCAGGAATGTTGGAGATTTATAGGGCTATTTACATAAAGAAGGAATTCAAACTGAATTTTATATTATTACCATAATAGCCAATCTGGAAAAAAAATCTCCAAGTCAGCTATGCTATCGGTTTAGCGTAAAATTAAAAATTTGCTTTGAATTCCTAGTAATGCACACTTTATTGAATAACCCTGAAGGATTATTATGGTTTTTTTTTTAACCCCTTAAGGACACATGACGTGTGTGACATGTCATGATTCCCTTTTATTCCAGAAGTGTGATCCTTAAGGGGTTAAACAGCTGGACCAATTGCTGGTGATCTGGTTGACTTTGTAAGACCTAACACTAGACTAAAAATTTCGGATGGTTGGTCTAAACCAAATTCCTTTAAATTCACACCCAAATTAGTCATTCTAGGATTTACCTGTGGAGTCTTATTCAATGAATTGGAAGATTTATTTGTCCAGGTATGGATTTAAAGAAATTTGATTTGAACAAACCGTCCAAAATAAAAATTTTTTGTAGAAGTCTACCCAACACTTCTTTTCAAAACTTTATTAGAAAAGTATAAAAAATATCAAAGCACTACAAAAAAGATCCATAAAACCTATGTACGCGTACAGAGATAAAAGCTAAAATGAGCGTGAATTAATCGTTCAAATAAAAAAATCACTTTTTTCATTCCTTATGTTTTCTATGAGTGGGAGATAGCGTATGGCTGCGGATAATACAGAAATAGCAAAAGAGAATCCTTCTACATGTGGTATATATGGGAGTTATGGCCTGCGCACCATTTAATAATAGTCATGATAAACTATTTATGCTGAGGTTTTCTCCCTAAGGCAGTTCAAAATCTGCGCTGCTCGATGTATGTATGGCCAGTTGATAAATTGTTCTAAAATGTAAAAGTACTTAAAGCTATCTTTTTAAAATATGTGGATATCTATACATATATACATGTAAATGCTACAATATGCTGTTTTATAGAAAGAAAATAATAATTGCAATGTTTTATTCATTTTTGCCTTTAATCATTTTAGCTAAGTTCTCCAATATATGTTAGATGGGTGATGAATATTAATGTCACAGAACATGAAGCATAGGACTTTCGGAGACTAGGAAAGCTGTATTCTCTTATTTAACATACGGTTCTTACGAGACGTCTATAAAAATGGCAGATTCAGAGTTCCATTCTTGTTAGAGAGAGAACTGATTTAAAGTCACTTTTGTTACTACAGGGCTTGGGACATGATTGGTCCAGATTTATAGTTTGGTCAAGGAATAGGAGACACAGAGCCTGATTATATCCTGTATGGCATGTATGAGATTCATTTTTTAATTTTATAATATTACATCACCCTTGTTAAATGCTAGATCCTTCCTTTTCCAATGATAAACTTAAACCTGGGGACTGAATAGCCATGGGAAATTGTTATTAACTTACCAGAGTGCAGGGCCGGACTGGGGATACAAAGCAGCCCTGGAAAAAAAAATCTATGCGAGCCCCATAAGTCATTACGCCATATATTGTCTATGTCTTGCCACCCCAGATGATTGAGTAATATATATATAAACACACACCTATAGACTGTAAGCTTGTTTGAGCAGGGCCCTCTTTAACTTTTGTTCCTATACGTTTTCTTGTAATTGTCCTATTTATAGTTAAATCCCCCCCTCTCATGATATTGTAAAGCGCTACGGAATCTGTTGGCGCTATATAAATGGCAATACAAATAATAATAATTATATGTATAAATATATATATATATATATATATATATATATCATTAATATATATTCATTTTTCTAATATAAAATATTGGTCCTTTCAGAGTAAAACATTTAATTATACATTAAGCATACTCACATGTAGACACAGACAATCTCACTGACACACACAAGCTCATTGATACACAGCCTCATAGACAAACAATCTCACTGATATACATAAGCTCATTGACATAAAAACACCGGCTCACAGATGCACACACAGAGGCTCACTGACAGACAATCTCACTGCCACATACATGCTCCCTACAGAAAAGCTCACTAACACAAACATGCTCACTAAAGAAAAACTAATTGACACACACGTTCCCCACAGAAAAGCTTACTGACACACATATGCTCACTACAGAGAAGCTCATTGACACACACATGCTCACCACAAACTATCTCATTGACACACACATGCTCACCACAAACTATCTCACTGACACACACATGCTAGCAGGCACATACACAAGCTCACTCACTAGCAGGCACACACACACAAGCTTACTCACTAGCAGGCACACACACACACACACACACACACACACAAACTGACTCACTAGGAGGCACACACACGCATGCTCACTCACTAGCAGACGCATACACACACAAGTTCACTCACTAGCAGGCACACACACACACAAGTTCACTCACTAGCAGGCACACACACAAGCTCACTCACTTGAAGGCAGGCACACATGCAATCTCACTCACTAGCAGACACACACACACACAAGCACACAAGCTCACTCACTAGCAGGCACACACACATGCAAGTTCACTCACTAGCAGGCACACACACAAGCTCACTCACTTGAAGGCACACACACATGCAAGCTCACTCACTAGCAGACACACACACACTCACACTCACAAGCTCTCTCACCAGCAGCCACACACACAGACACACAAGCTCTCTCACTAGCAGGCACACATACACGCACACAAGCTCTCTCACTAGCAGATACACACACTCACAGATACACACACAAGCTCTCTCACTAGCAGGCACATACACACACACACACACACAAGCTCTCTCACTAGCAGACACACACACACACACAAGCTCTCTCACTGACAGGCACACACACACACACAAGCTCTCTCACTAGCAGACATACACACAAGCTCACTCACTAGCAGGCACACACACACACACAAGCTCTCTCACTAGCAGATACACACACTCACAGACACACACACAAGCTCTCTCACTAGCAGGAACATACACACACACACACACACACAAGCTCTCTCACTAGCAGGCACACATACACGCACACAAGCTCTCTCACTAGCAGATACACACACTCACAGACACACACACAAGCTCTCTCACTAGCAGGCACATACACACACACACACAAGCTCTCTCACTAGCAGGCACACACACACACACAAGCTTTCTCACTGACAGGCACACACACACACAAGCTCTCTCACTAGCAGACACACACACACACAAGCTCACTCACTAGCAGGCACACACACACACACACACACACACACAAGCTCTCTCAGTAGCAGACACACAATCACTGTTATGACTGAAGCTTACCTGGCACTGGTAGGTGAAGTTGCTATTTTGTTGCCTCTTCCTTCCAGCAAGGTCAGCAACATGTGTGGGGGCGAAGCTTGCATGCGTGAAGCAGAGTTTCCATTTAAGAGGTGGGGCTGACGTGCGGGGGTGTGGCATGCGCCAAAATTGATGTAAATTTTGAAGAGAGACTGACAGGTCTCCCTCCGGCCGTGGGCAGCCTAATTGCGGCCGCACCAGCCCCCAGCTCCTGCCTCTTTACTCCCTCGGACTCACACAGGCTGGCACAGTCTGAGGGAGAAATACTTAAAAGACCTTAGCCTGATGATCAGGGCTGTCAGTCCGGCCCCAGGTGCCCCGGACCACCAGGAAGTTTCCCAGTATCCCGGTGGGCCAGTCCGGGCCTGCCAGAGTGTTCTTAGAATTCAGCCCTAATGTGCCACAGCTATCTGCCTTCTGTAACACAAAAGACATAAGAAGACTAGACAGGCAAAAGAACCACGTGTCCTTCGAAAGAAATCCCATCCAAGGTTATTTAACCCTCAGTGTGCAATTTACTAAAATCCTCTAACTTGCCAGTTGCATGGTTTTCCCTGCATAACAGGAATTACTAATAATAATAAATAGACTTTTACGAATATGCAGGACATTAGAGAACGAAAATAAAGAACTAAAAGGTATGGATCCCATATGGGGACTGCCTCATTGAAACCAGGACCGTTGGGAGGTATGATTAAGGAAGAGCTGGTGGGCCTTTCTCAGGACATCAGTAAAAACAGGAGGAATTGTGGCTGCTCCCTTCTCCTGCCTCCACTATATCTGTAAGGAATGGAGGTGAGAATAGCTGTGTGATGTGATGATGAAGAATATATAATTGTGCAGCTTGTCTTAAAGAACCACTATAGTGCCAGGAAAACATACTCGTTTTCCTGGCACTATAGTGCCCTGAGGGTGCCCCCACCCTCAGGGTCCCCCTCCCGTCCGGCTCTGGAAAGGGGAAAGGGGTTAAAACGTACCTTTTTCCAGCGCTGGGCGGAGAGCTCTCCTCCTCCGATCCTCCTCTTCTCCTCCTCCCCGTCGGCTGTATGCGCACGCGCGGCAAGAGCTGCGCGCGCATTCAGCCGGTCACACAGGAAAGCATTCATAATGCTTTCCTATGGACGCTGGCGTGCTCTCACTGTGAAAATCACAGTGAGAAGCACGCAAGCGCCTCTAGCGGCTGTCAATGAGACAGCCGCTAGAGGAAATAGGGGAAGGCTTAACCCATTCATAAACATAGCAGTTTCTCTGAAACCGCTATGTTTATGAAAAAATGGGTTAACCCTAGCTGGACCTGGCACCCAGACCACTTCATTAAGCTGAAGTGGTCTGGGTGCCTAGAGTGGTCCTTTAATCCCCCACAATTTACGTCCATCCCATATGCTTTACAAGTAGGTAGGGATCTATGTAGGGATAGGCCTGGGGGGGGGGGGTTGTAATAAAACAGAAAAAAAAAAGAGTCTTACTCTCAATCCTTAAAAGAACCGCAGAAAAACAAATCAGCAAATATTTGCTGAGTGGATAAATAAAAAGTTAAATGAATACATGAAATCAAAGATGGTACAGCAAAACGTGTGTATATCCAAACTGCTGCATCGCAGTACCTAAAAAAAAAAGGGGAGTAATGGTACCCTGGGGAACAGTCTGATAGAATAAAACCAGAGATTAAGTGGGATCAGATAACACTGAAAAATCCCCAAAGAAAAAAACAAACAGCAACGCGAGAGGAGCTGAGTAGAGAATGCTTAATCTCTGTGATAAAATGAGCTTGGTCCTCTGAGCCCCATTTTTAATGATGCACACAATTCGACTATCGGGAATCCCTGTTTAGCTGACATTCAGTTGATGGGGATATAAAGTGCTGGTGAAGTCATTAGGCTCTTGGCCGGTGAGTCCATTCAATGGTCATTCAGTGGACATAAACTTAACTAGCATGGACAGCGTGTGTTCTGGATAAACGGCTGCCACTGAGACACAGCAACAATGGAGGACTGCAGGAGCTAAAAGACAATGGGTATCGTCCAATGGACTTCTTCAGGGCAACGGAAGAGGCAGTGCCTGAGGTTCCAGCTAGATAGCTGCTCTTCGCCTACCTCATATAATAATAGGATCGGGGGGGGTGCCCAATCCCCTGTTCCTGAAACCTCCCAAATGATACCATGGACCAGTGGTTCTTACAATTATTATTATTATGTTATTTATATAGCGCCATCAAATTCCGCAGCGCTTTACAATGAAAGGTCTCCACTAAATCACCTTCTTTCTGTATAAAAGTAACAGTGTTTGCTTTCCCTAATAAACTATAACTGTCCGTAATGTTCTTATATCTCATCTCGGAGCCAATAGGCCACCCTAAAATAAAGTACTTGATATTAAGTATGTCCATCCCACCTGAAGGTGATACAGACCAGGTGGAGCTATGGAATATGAAGGCTGTCCAGTCAAAAACAGTGTGATAAAAGACAAGGGGACTATGTACACCCAACCCATGTACAAACACATGATATGGGCAATGGCACAGCTAAAAGGATGTGGAACACAGAGTCTATATTTATTTGTAATTTAGAATCTGTAGTAAGAATGCTACGAGTCAAGGGCTACAGGAGATGATGTTTATAGTTAGAAGAGTATGGGACAATTATTCTATTGATAGGGGTTATGGAACATGAAATCTAAAGTTATGACTATGGGCAATAGTAAGGAATATTCTCTAAATTCCAATTTTTTGCAAATTTATTCCAAATGGCAAAACGAAGTTAAAATTACTGAAACTATCGATGCAGCTGAGTTGGATAATTTTTTCAGAGTAGCAATTTTTTCCTAAATTTTGTAATTCAGAATTAACCCACGAACATGCCTAACTCCAAGAGTCTGACGTTAGAATGCTTTGAGACATTAACTCTTTATTTAGCGATTATGGAACATGAAAGTTAGAGTTAGGGTTAAGGAAAAAAAGTGTCTGTAGTTAGAGGGCTATGATCTTAGGAAGAAGTGCAAGGGGTGGGGTGGGGGCGGGGAGGCAATAGTCCCAAAGCCACTAAAATAGAGAGAATTTTGGGCTGTAACCTTACATCACAATACTAAAATATATTACGTAACAGTCTTTGTTACTATTGTTTTAAAGTGCTTGCAGTGTTCATATAAATCAAATGAATATTACATTAATAAATATAATGGAGGAGTTCACAAATTAGGATATTTGTTTGTAATTGCCCCCAGGCCAAATACAGCCTTTACTCCCCCGGCTATGACCAAGAAGTGTATAGTTCAAAGGCTGTGACATAACTGAGCAGTTTAGTTAAAGAAGTAGAACCACTATACTGCCAGGAAAACAAACTTGTTTTGCTGGCTCTATAGGGTCTTTGGGTCCCCCCCACCCTCAGTGTCCCACTCCCGATGGGCTGAAGGGGGAGGGAGGGATTAAATTCTTACCTTTCTTTCCGAGGGAGCCCAGCGCTGGGGACGCTCCACCCTCTTCCGACGTAATCCGCTGAATGCACTTGCGCAGCAAGAGCCGCGCGCGCATTCAATCAGTCCATAGGAAAGCATTTTTCAATGCTTTCCTATGGACGCTGGCGTCTTCTCACTGTGAAAATCACAGTGAGGAGAGCGGAAGCGCCTCTAGCGGCTGTCAGTGAGACAGCCACTAGAGGCTGGATTAACCAATAGGTAAACATAGAAGTTTCTCTGAAACTACTATGTTTACAGCTGCAGGGTTAACCCTAGATGGACCTGGCACCCAGACCACTTCATTGAGCTGAAGTGGTCTGGGTGCCTATAGTGGTCTTTTAAGGCTTATGGAGCAAGAGACTAGGTAGAATTCTGTGAAACATAGCTGACACAGAGTTTCCTTCTACGGAACAAAAGAAACATTTTTTTTTTCTCTCTCTCCAGACAGTGACAAAATAGCACAAACAAGAAAGAAATGCAGAATGTTCTTCTTACTACAATACAAATTATGTTACTAGTCAGAACACCGCAAAGGAAAAGAGCCCTGGTAATCTGCGGGCACTGAGAATCAGGACATTATTTAGCAGGAGATGGCCTGGTGGGCCTTTCTCTTTAATAATATTCAATTCTGCAGCATTACTTACAGGCGTCTGATGGCATTTGTGCTCATATCACACTTCAGGTCGGCTCTCAGGCAGTGAGTAATTTCCCACGTACTCTCAATGTGACAGGGGAGGGCCAAGAATAGGATTGCTTCCTGATATAACTCTATCATTCATGACTGTAAAGCTATCAGAATTCTAATATGTTTCATTGCCTCAGTACCAGTTACTTTTATGGGCCACAGTTCCATTACAAACCACTTCGCAATTCCCAGCATGGACACGGAGAGAGGGTGAGAGTGATTGCACCCTTGTAAAAGG